TGCCGAGACCCTGGCCACCCAGGCCAGGCCATGGCACCTCAGACCCCAGAGGATGGAACGGGCGGGTCCCGGGCTTCAGCCCTGCATGCCCCGCCCTGCCCAGCGCACCTGACCCGACAGGCGCCTGAATCTGGGGTGGGGGGCACAGGACAGCAGACTTGCAGGACAGGCAGAGAACGGTCAGCAGTGACCGAGCACTCCCGGGCCCGGCAACGTGGCAGTGCCCTTGGGGCGCCCCCCACAGATGCCCTGGCCTGTCCTGGCCTGCGGGGAGCGTGAGGGGCTGCCCCCTCAGAGAAGAGCTTGGCAGCAGCTCACAGAAACGCACCCCAGAACCAGAGGCCCGCTGCTGGGAACCCGGGAGAAGGGAAACACTGTCCTCAGGGAGAGGGGGGTGGACAGCCCAATGTCCTCAGGGAGAGGGGAAGAGGATGGTCCTCATGCCCCCAGGAAGATGGGAGCATGGACGCTCGTGTCCATGGGAAGACTCGAGCATGATACTCAGAACCCCGGGGTTCAAGGTCACCCAGTGACCACCACCCTGTGGGTTGCTTCTTGGCCCATGTGGCGCCCACCACAGCCCGTCGGGGAACTTGGGCAGACACAGCGATTGCATGACCCGGGTGCACAGAACACCCAGAGCAAACAGACCCACAGACACAGGCGAGGGGCTACCGGGCGGGGGCGGGGTGGGGACTCTGGGCAAGAGGGGCCCCCAGAAACCCCTCGGCCTGGGAGGTGGTGCCGGCCACACGGCTCCAGATGCACTGAATTTCACTCACCCCCACTCCAAGCCCAGGAGCCGTCACACACGGGCCTACAGCGAGTGTGGGAGCCCTGTGTGGACCCACGGCCCAGCCCCTGCCCTGTCCCCGTCCCCTGGGCAGGGACGGGCTCACAGGAGGGTTGCCCTGGAAGGAGCCACTGGGCTTCCCTGGAGGCCGTCCCCGAGGCTCGTGCTGATGTGGGAAGCGGGTGGCCCCGGGGTGCATGAGAAGAGCAGAGGCGATGCTGCCCCCCAGGCCTGGCTGAGACCCCCTACCTCACGGCCCTGCACATCCTCCTGGGGATCTCCGGGCACATTTGGGATGGGGGCATGGAGAATCCCACAAAGGAGGCTGCGAGCCCTGTGTCCATCCCACATCCATCCTGCTCCTGTCACGCTGGCTGTGCCTTTGGAATGAGCCGCCACCTACCACGGCAGGAGACAGGGGGAAGCAACTCTCAACCTGGCGGGGCGCCGAGTGTCTCCCGGGCCCTTGTCTCCCACTGGAGCTCTGCGGGGCCGCCTTGCTGCTGGCTCTGAACCACACAGAGGTCTCCTGTCCCTGCCCAGCACACATGTCGGGGGATACGAGTGAAGAGGGTACAGAAAGTGGCCGCTGCTGTCTATGGCTTCCCCTGGGAAGGAGCACTCAGGCTCCCTCGGGAGGGAGCACCCAGGATTCCCTCGGGAGGGAGCACCCAGGCTCCCTTGGGAAGGAGCACCAGGGCTCCCTGAAGAAGGAGCACCCAGGCTCCCTTGGGAAGGAGCGCCAAGGCGTCCTGGGGAAGGAGCACCCAGGCGTCCGTGCGGGTCCAGGGCCGGCCTCATCCTGAAGTCCCCTGTGCTCAGGCAGACCGTGAACGTCAGCAGCAGAGCCCAGGTCAGACTGGCTTTGGCCTCTGGGGGTCGCCCCCTGCCGTAGCTGAGAGGTGGGGCCCCAACTCAGCCTTCTCCCACTTCCCTTCCCCCCGGGGGTTCAGGATCTCACACCCTCCTCCGGGCTTCTCTGAATCTGCCTCTGCTGGCATGGAGGCATCGCGGGGCTGGACAGCAAGGCCACCGGCCGCCAGCACACGCAGGGCCTGTCCACGGGCACTGCAGCACCAGCCGGCCTGTGTGCCCAGAGGGCCCCCCACAGCCTTCGCAGCTGGCTCCTGTGAGAATGGGAATGGGTGGGCTTCACTTGCCCTCCAGCACTTCTGAGCAGCACAGCCTGGCCGGCTCTAGGGGCCAGGCCCAGCCCAGACCTCCAGCCCTGCGCTCAAACACTCCCAAAGGGGCTCTGGGGACCCCACGCATTCAGCCTCTGGAAAGCAGGAAGAAATCTTGGTGCAGAAAGCCCGCAGGGAGCCCTCAGCGTTCTGTGATGTTCCCAAGCACGAGCTCGTACATTCCACCCCTTTCTCGGGCAGAGGTGGAAGGCCTTGCTCCCACCCAGAGGCGGAAGGCCTTGCTCCCACCCACCAGGGCAGACGGTACGGCTCCTGCCTGTCCTCAGGCTCTCCAGGCTAACTGGAGAAGAGGAAGAATTAGGGGCCAGGGAGAGCAGCATGGGTAGGGGTTTGCCTTGGGTGCTCCCTGCCTGGGTTCGATCCCTGGCACCCCATAGGGTCCCAGGAACCCCACCAGGAGTGCCCCCCGGGCACAGAGCTGTAATCAAGCCCTGGGCACTGCCGGGCATGGCCCAGAAACAAAAGAATTTCTGGAGCGTGAGCAGAGTCGAAGCTTCTAAGGTACACGCGAGGGCACCAGAGTCTCAGGGCAGGTGTCGGCGTGGGGCGAGGCCACCTCCTTCTCCCACTCATGGGACACGTGCCCCGGGGTGCCCACAGCTGCATGTCCCCCGCCTTCAAGCCAGGGGAGCCGGGGAATTTTTGCCAGGCTGAGGGGGTCCAGCCCAGTGTGAGGCCGTTGGGGAAAGAGCAGGGAGTGTCCACAGGGTCAGGCTTCATGAGCCCACCACAGTCTATTAGAATCAACTCGCCATGAGTCAGGCACGGGGCCAGCTACCCCCGCCCTGCCCACACCCGCAGTCCTGACCTGCAGGCCCCTGCCAGGCAGCTGGTGCCACCAGCAGCGCGGGAAGCAGGACTCGAGGAGGCCACCCGCTGCCTGCAGCTTCTCCACTGTGTGCGTCTGTGAGTCTGTGTCTGCGCGTCTTGCATCTGCCGGCCTGCTCACTCATCCATGCGTTTATCTAACACCTAAGACAGCTGCCCAGGGAGGCATCTGCACACAGACACTCGACCCCCTTTAGGCGGGTGCTTTTGTGGGGCCCAAATGTGGCTCCGAGGGGCTCCGAGGGGCTCCGAGACGACACCTGACGATCCTTGACCAGCAGAACGAACGATGGCCCTCATTTCTCACAGCACCGATGATCCCTGGGGCCACCCCTGAGGTGCTCAGGGACTCCCGGGCCACACCCAGCCAGGCGCCAGCAGGCTCAGGGGGGCATGTGTGTGTGTGTGTGCCTGGGTCGGGTGTGTACCTGGCCATGCCCTACCCACTGTCCTGTCCACGGCCCTGGAAAGGTCACTTAAAAAGAGTCTCCTGGGGCTGGAGCGATAGCACAGCGCGTAGGGCATTTGCCTTGCACGCGGCAGACCTGGGTTCAATTCCCAGCATCCCATAGGGTCCCCTGAGCCCCGTCAAGGGTGATTCCTGAGTGCAGAGCCAGGAGTCAGCCCTGAGCATCGCCAGGTGTGACCCAAAAGGCAAAAATAAATAAATAAATAAATAAATAAATAAATAAAAGAGCTTCCCGGGGTCATATGCCCCCACAACCAGCGCTGCTGGTTTGTGATGTCTTGATCTCCATGTCTCCCAGGGATGGCTCCTGGGGAAATGCCCAAGGCAGTGCTGTTAAGGGCAACGCAAGGGCAAACCTTGTTCTGAAATTCTGCTAATCGTTGGACTTCAGGTTCCGCATCCCCCCCCCCCCCAACCCAGGTTTTACTCTTAGCTTTCCTCTTCCTTGTTTTGGTGTGTGTAGGTGTGTAGGGGGTCTGCCAAGCGGGGCTCAGCATCCCTGGGGCCCCTTCCCACAATTCTTGGCCAACTGAGCTCATGGTTCAATGCAAGAACCCGGGATGTGGCACAGATCAGGCCGTGTGCTGCTGGGGAGATCTGGGATCACACCCAGGGGTGCTGGGGGCCTGTGCGGTGAAGGGGCTGAAGCCTGCCAGTGTGCCCGAGGCGTGCACCTTAGTCCGTTCTCTCTGGCCCATCCCTCCCTTGGGAGGGAGAAGCGTGGGTGCTTCTGACCTGCTGTCCTGGTGCCCCTTCAGGCAACAGTCCTGAGAGGACGGTCAGGGCAGTGGAGCGGTGGGTGCTGAGATGAGAGTCCCCTGTATCCAGCACCAACTCCTGGGTGGGGTGTGGGGGGTGGGGACTGCCCCCTGCAGGGATCCCCAGGCCCCAGGGGTCTTGGGACCCTGGGCCCACCCTGAGGGCTGAGCGAGCCATCCCTGCACCCGTCCTCCACTCACTCCACCATCACTTTGTGAGGCTGGCAGGAGGGTCTCGGTACCCAGCCTACTCTGCAGCCGGGGCATCAGCTGGGGGGAGGGGGGGCGTGCCCGGGAAGCTCACGTCTGCGCTTGCCTGAGCGCTTTCGGGGCGCAGGATCCGCTGGGCTGGAAACCCCAGGGTCTGAGCGCCCACCTGGCCCTAGAGACCCTGCCCCTCCCGGTACCTGCATACAAGCCCCATGGTTCGCCTGGTTCGGAAACCTCCGGTGAGTGCCGTCTGGGCAGGGAAGCCAGCGGGCCGGCCCACGGCGCTGTCCCCGGGGTGCGTGTGTGTTTGTGTGTGTGTGTAACTCACTCTGGAGTTGACACGGTGTGTGTGTGGGGGGGGGGCGGCGCATCAGCGGAGAGGTCAGGGGCGGCAGGGGCCGGTGCCCGTGAGCGCGGGGGAGGCGAGGCTCCAGCCCCAACTAGGGCCGCGCCCCGAGAGAGGGGCGAGGGGCCCACGTGGGTGGGCGTTGGCTGGGAAAGGCGCAAAGCGGGAAGTGGAAAAGGGTTCCAGCCCCCCGCGCGCGCGGACACTGCTCGGCGCACCCCGACACCCCTGCGCGCAGCGGCCCGCGCCCCCTCCCCCTGCGGCCGAGCGAGCGGAGCGGAGTGCGGAGCGCGCGGCGGGCGCGGGGCGCGGGGCGCGGGGTGGGCGCGCGGCGGGCGCGGGGCGCGGGGCGCGGGGTGGGCGCAGGGTGGGCGCGGTGCGCGCGCGGGCCATGGTGCGGGCCGGGCGGGCGCGCTGCGGGCGCGGCGGGCGCTGCGGGCCGCGGGCGCGGGTGCTGTGCGCGGCGTTGGCGCTGGGCTGGGCGCTGGCGCTGCTGCTGGGGCTGCTCCGCGCGCCCCCGGGCGCTCCCTCCGGGCGCTGCACGGACGAGAAGAGCCGCCGCATCCTGGCCGCGCTGGTAGGTCCGCGGGGGGCTGCGGGCGGGACCCCCACGGGTCGCCCGGTGTCTTCTTTGTCCCCGCGCCCCGCCGCCCGAGCCCGCGCCCCGGCAAAGTTTGCAGCCCCTGGGTGTCCAGGCCGGGCGGGGGAGGGCGACCCGGTGCGCCCCTGGGGGTCCCCGGCTGTGCCCGAGCCCGGGCGCGGCGGGGACGCGGGGCGCGCGCGGTCCTGCGAGGCGCGGGCGGGCTGGCCCGGGGTCCGCCCGGGGCGCGGGCTCTGCGCCCACCGCCTCCCTTGCCCTCGGCTGACCCCCAAGCCGAAATCCACTCTCTCTGCTTGGGCAGACGCGTGAGCAGCCTGGAGTCAGGGTGGGACCCCCCAAGACCAGCCCGGGCCGGGGTCGCGGCGACTCCACACTGTCCCCCAAGCAGCGGCCCCGCGCGCGCCCGGGCTCGGCGCCGGTTCCTGAGACATCGCGGGCGCTTTTCACAGTCTGGTCGCACAAAGGTTTTTAAGTCAGTTTTTTTTTTTTTTAAGTGAGTTTGGAAAAAATGTGCTGCTGACTGGGAAAACTGGACCAGATCACTTTCCCGAGCGGGTTGGGGCAGGGAGCCAGTGGTCCATCACCTGGGAGGAAGTGTCCCTGCTTCCCGGGTTCCCTGGTCCAGCTGCCTGTCACCTGTCAGGCCAGTGAGTGGTTCCAGCACATTTCCTCCAAGCTTGCACAAGTGGCTTCTTTTCTCCGAGAAACTCCTCTCACTTACAGAGGTCTCCTGGCCCGGAACAAGCTGCCGTGAACGCAAAGGAAGTTCAGTCAGGACGGATCCTGTGTGCAGAGACCACAGTGGTCTCTGCGCCATAGCTGACCGCAGCCAACGTTCCCCCTTATCCTCCTTGGATAAGTGAGAAGGGACTTCTAGCCGAAATTAAGTAGCCGAAAACTGTCTCTGTCATCACTGTGATGACACCCACAGCATCCCGGGGCTCACCGTGGGAGAGTCTGGTTCTGTGACTGACCTCTCGGGATGCCAAGGGGGCTGTGTGTGTGTATGTGTGTGTGTGTGTGTGTGTGTGTCTGTCTGTCTGTCTGTCTGAGGGTCTCCCGTGGCCCAGGGACCCCGTGCAGGGGAGCAGATTAAGATCCCAGGGCTCGGCTATCTCTCCCTCTCCCCGCCCTGGCCTGCAGTTGGTGGCAGTCCCACAGCACGCCCCAGGTTCTGGCCTCAGACGCTCAGGTCCAGGGGGTGGGCTGGGAACCCGCCGTCTGTGCCGCAGCCCAGGGCTGGCTGAATGGTGCCTCTGTCTCCCTGCCGCCCTCCGTCCTCCCTTCACCCTGCCTGGCTTTTCTCCTCCGGAATAAAAGGGGCGGCTGGTCCTCTGACTGGCTCCAGGCTCATTAGCTTTCTCTCCGAGTCCTGCTCTTGGAGCCTTTCTCTCCGCAGAGGACTCCTGCCAGCTGGGTCTGGCCCACCACGGGCGCTGGGAGGGAGCCCAGGGGCAGGGCAGCCGGTGGGAGCCGGGGGGGGTGGGGGGCAGGGGACCCGCACTCTCCTCCAGGCTGCCCCCGGGCTTGCTTTTTGTTTTGTGTTTGGGCCATACCCAGCAATACTCAGGGGTTCCTCCTGGGTCTGCACTCAGGGATACTCCTGGAGGCGTTGGGGGACCATGTGGGATGCCAGGCACTGAACCCAGGTCGGCTGCCTGCAAGGTGAACGCCCTCCCTACTGTCCTATCACTCCAGCCCCTGGCCCTAATTTCTGAGCCAGGCTGTGCCCCATCTGCGGCTGCGCAGGGACCGTGCCCATGACGCTCCCCAGACCCAGGCACCGGCTGATGTGGCTCTCCCCACAGCCTGTCCCTGAGGTCTGGGCCATCTCTGGGGGGTCTGTGCTGTCACTGTGGCCCATTGTGCAGATGGCCAAGGTGAGCCGCAGAAGAGGCACGGAGACGCGCTGATGCTCGCTGGCGTCTCTGGGGGAGGCTGAGGAATAGGGGCTCTGCAGAAGCGAAGCTGAGTGAGAGGCTGGTCCTTAGCTGCCCCCAGCCCGTCGTGGCCGAGTGTCTCGCAGATGGCTCTTCCTCTGGGAAAGAGCGATGGGGCTGGAATCGGCTGACTGCGGCGTCACAGAATCACAGATCATGGCACCAGCTTGTGTCATTCTGCTGAGACGGGGACCCCAGACCCAGATGGGCTGTAGAGTGGCATCTTCCTGGGTTTCGCAGTGCCAGGAGTCGAGGCTGGTGCTCTGAGTGGGGCGGGCCAGGGGTGCCCAGTGCCCAACCCCCCCTCTAGAGAGCAGTGGCTCTGCTTCCCTCAGATCAGCCTCAAGTGTCCCTGGGCCCAGGCGCCAGCCAATGCCTTGGCCGGTGGTTCTGGGAATCTCAGCGTCCAGTGACTGCTTGGGGACTGAGGGTCACTCCCCAGGGCGCTGAATGGGGCTGGGGAACTGAATAGCCCTTGAAAAAACAAAAGCAAACTCCCAGCGGGAGGCCCGACCCTAGTCCACCGGGGGAGCCCTGCCTGTCCTTTCTGAGACTGGAGTGGAAGTTTTGCTTTCGCCAGAGAGTCCGGTGCCAACGGGGAAAGGCAAGCCCTTAGGAAAACTTCCTGGAAGAATTAAGGGGTGTGGGAATGTGTTCGCATTAGCACGTAAGTCACAGTCTCCCTGCGAGTGCAGTGAATTAGAAACATCAGTTGGTGACAGGAAGCCACTGTGGCGAGCGTCTTTGGTTCATGTTGAAGCTGGTGCCTGTGGATTTTGTCTGACAAGTGGTGTGTGTGTGTGTGTGTGTGTGTGTGTGTGTGTGTGCGCACACACACACACACATGCTGGCGGCCTCCTGTTCAGTGAGAAGTCTGGTCTTGAAACTAAAGTCAATAAACTACCGAGTTAAAAAGAACAACACAGCTTCCTCAGCAGACCCGCTACTAAGAGGATAGTTTGGCTGTTGTGTCTGACATGATGGCAGTTAATTGACGAAGAAACGTGACCGCTTGTCCCCGCACGTCACTGCTGTCCTAGATTCAGTCTGGCTCTGATTCCTGGATGACACTTGCAGGAAGGGTCCGCAGTGTTCCCCAGATGTGGGTGAGCGGTGTGTCAGTGTGAGGGTCTGTGTCCCGCAGAAGGGCAGAGAGTGAGGTTCCAGAACACAAGGAAGAGTGGTGACATGTGACACAGCCTCGGGGGTGCTTTTAGTGTCTTCTTGGTTTGGCCGTCTTGATCCAGCTCCTTTGAAATGGGAGGGCACGATGGCACTGAGAGACAGCATGAACCACACTGCCTGTGCTGGCTGGTGGCCCCGTGGGTGGGGGGAAGACAGGCAGGCCCAAGTCCTGCTCCCCGTGCAGACGGCGGCACCCCTGCCGGCTGCTGGCTGGAAGAGACACTCCTCAATGTGCTGATCTGCAGAAAAACAGCCCGAATTAATGCCAGCTTCCAAATCAATAGGCGTATGCCAAATGCCATGACTGCACCGTTGCTCAAAAGCCTGCAGTCTCTCATCAGGTGTGGGCACTGAAGGCCAAGGCTAGACCCTCCCCGAGCCCTGGCGAGAGGGCTTGGCCATCCCATGCGAGAATGGCCTTTGACTGGGACTCTGGCTTGACCTGCTCCAGAAGGAAGGGGCTGAAGCTCTCGCGGGTGCGTGGGGACAGCTCTCTGCAGCGTTGGGTCTCCAACCCCAGTGGGGTGCCAGCGGGCTCACGGCTTGCACCTCTGTCTGTGCAAACCCGACACCCTCACCCCGAGCCCCAGCCCCCCACCACAATGGGGAGGGGGCAGGGTGGGCGGGGCTGCAGTGGAAGGCGCAGGGGTGAGGTGAGGTGACTGAGGGGCTCGCTGGCGACTGACCAGTGGCTACCCGCAGTGGGTCTGCCCCGCAGGGTCGCGCTGCAGGAGCAGGGAAGCGTTCTCTGAAGTAAGTGCTCTGAGCAGTGAGCCTTGGGCAGCAAAGCCAGGGCAGGCCGCGGCCCCTCTAGTTCTTTGCAGAGTGTTCCGGGGTTCACATTCCGGGCGCCTTTGGGGGAGGGAGGAGCACATATTCTGCAGGTGGGGCAGCTCCCCCTTGATTAAACAAATCAATCACCTGCAGCAAAGTAGCTGTTTCCATGGGACGCGGCAGCCCGGGAGCCTCAGGGGGGGCCTCGTGCTTTGCAGGGCGTTGGGCTCTCTCCCACTTTCCCGTAGGGCAGGGAGCCGTCCCTGCTCAGCCGGGCAGGCGGGCATCACGGGCTGCCTCTGCGGCCGGTCCTGGAGCCTGCACTTAGCCGAACTGCCCCGTCCCCAGTGAGCCTCAGTGGGCCCTGGGGAGGGATCTGAGGCCCACAGTGGCCAGGCGGGTGGGCATGGAGGCCGACAGCCCGTCCCATACTGTGTAAACTCACACAAAAAGGGGGCACGGCACACAGCGGCGATGGCTCTATCTCTCCCGCTGCCCGTGTTCGGTAGTCTCACCCTTCTCCTGCCCCGGGGAAGTCGATGGCGATGGTCAGGCGGATGAAGGAAACGAGGGCCCGCTGGTTGGTATTAGTAGCAGTTTATTTCATTCCTCTCTCCATCTACACCAGTCTCTCTTGTCTGTCTCTGCTTCTGTCTCTGCTCTTGTCTCTCTCTCCATGCTACTTCATTCTCCTTCTCCATCCCCCTTCATCCTTCTTCTCCTCCTTCTGATCTCTGCTTATGAACCATCAGCCCACTCCTATAGTACAGTTAAATCCTCTCTCCATGAGGAATTAGGGGAACAATTACACATAGGTGCGGTCACAATCAATAGGAGTAGAACTCTTAGCCTCAGGGAAGGCCGCTCCTAGGATCCTTTCTCAGCAGGGGGACCCACCCTAGAGCAGAATCCCATGGGTGTGCCTCTCCTCTCCTTGTCCGACAAGCATATAAGCATATATGATATAAATCATTTTGTATGGATACAGTAAGAAATATCTTAAACTTATAGAATTGCTCTCCTAGGACCATCTCGATCTCAGACTCCGGTGCTCAGGCCAGATAGTCTTTCCCACCCCTAGCAGGATCCTAGTCTTGTCGTTACCTTTGGATCATGACAGCATTTGTCTATGATCAAACTCTTAACTTATAGTTAAGAATCGTGGCACTTTGGCCTGGCCCCTTTCGCTGCCAGGGTAGCTCACCGCTTGCCCTGGGTCCATTCAGTCCCTCGTTGGGACCCTGCTTTTGGGGTGTTAGGAACTAAGGGCAACTGAGGCTTAAGTCGAGAAAGCAGATGCCCGGGAGTGAATAATATTCAAGGCCAATCAAATCCTAAGTTACAAAGCATGATGTTAACGGTCCTCCTGTATCTATAAAAAAAGGATATTACTTTAAGGTAAACTGTTCATAAGGCATAAGGAGAGGAGAAAGGCAATATTTCACTCATACGTATAAAATCATAGATTTCTGGGAAACTGATCTTACAAATTAACAAAGTCTGATTAAGGGGAAAGCTGATTAACTGGGTGGGAAGGAGAGCATAGGGAAGACTGCTTACAGATAAACACAATGGAAGTGGAAGTGCTTCAGGAGCACTTGTGATGGGTGTAACCAGATTGATGGGTGTAACCAGGTAAACCTAAGCTTCTTGTGGAAGAAGGACAAAGCATTGTTACCCTTACACCGCACCAGGTGACCCGTCCAGGCTCCTGACGTGTGCTGCCCGCTGGCTGTGTGCTGAGTTCAGCCTCGCCCAAGTAGGCGCGGGCGGGGGGGGGGGGGGGGCGGGGGGGGGGGATGGCAGGGGCCTTCCTGAGTGACCTGCACTTCCCCCAGAATGGGGCTGTCCACCCGTGGAAGGAAGACGCTTTGGTGGGTGGCAGAGAAACCCGATCCAGTCCTGCTGGGGGTCCAGCACAAGAGGGCACCCGTCCCCCTTGACCCCTGCGGTGCCCTGGGCCCACCCTGCTCCACATGGGGGTCCCTTGGGGGGCCTTGGAGCTGGGCTGATGCAGGCCCCCTCTGGCTCCTGGGCAAGGCCCTGCCCTCGGTCCTGCCTCCGGGGTTCCAGGCTGCATTGTGCCCTGCAGCAATGTGCGGACACCGGCCAGGAGCTGCTGCCCACAGGCACCGAGGAGCAATGCCTCGAGGGCTGTTCTGTGGCCATGACTGCCTCATTGCTGTGGTCACTAGGCTGGCTGCGGTGCTGACCATCAATGCAGACATCGCTGCCCTCTCTACTGTGGGCACCCCAGTGGCCCTATATGTGTTCATCCTGGGCACTGCAGTGGTCAGCCCTGGGGTCACTGTGTGTGGTTGTTACTGTTGCAGTGGGCAGGGGTCACTACCGTGGTGGCCACAGTGCCCGCTCCTGTGGACAGTACAGTGTTTGCTGCTCTGGTCATTTCTGTGGCCATTTCTGTGGAAATTCCAATGGTCACTGCAGGAACCATTTTGGGGTCATTACCATGATCACTGCAGGGATTGTTACCGCGGTCACTTCAGCAGCCATTCCGTGGTCACTGCAAGTGTGCTGATTGTGGTCACGGGAGGGGTCATTCCATGGTCACTGCAGGCATCAGGCTGCTGTCATGGCGATCATCTCTGTGTGTGGGGGGCTGTCCTGGGAAGGGGGTCTGGCTCTGAGGGGCACTGTGCGGGCCCTCCTGGGTGGCTGCGGGGAGACCGCCTGGATGTCCCTGAGGCCAGAACGGGAAGTTTCCACCTGTCCCTCCACGACTGGACGGTGGCCGCGACCTCTCTCTGGCCCGCAGGGCCCAGCGTCTGACCGCTGTCCACTGTCCCTTCCTTGCAGTGCCGGGACTACCGGGGCGGCGCGCTGGCCGGGAGCCTGTGTGAGGACCTGTGCGTGGGCGGCCGCCTGCGCTACCGGAGCTGCCTGTACTGGGAGCGCGGCAAGACGGTGCTGCGGGCCGAGTGGCGCGGGCGGCCCGTGGTGCTCAAGGCCCGGGAGGCGGCCTTCTCCAGCTTCCCGCCGCCACCCCCCGCCGCCGAGCTGCCCCTGCTGCTGGCCGGCCAGCTCCGCAGCGCCCTGGGCCTGGAGCTGGCGCCCGGTGGGCTGGGCCCGCGCTGGGCGGCGGGGCGGCCGGGCCAGCTGGCCAGCCTGTGGGCACTGTGTCAGCAGGAGGAGTTCCTGCTTCTCAGCCTGATGCAGGCCCTTGGCCGCCACACGCTGCCGCTGCTTGGCTCCTGCGGCCACTTCTATGCCGTCGAGTTCCTGGCGGCCGGCGGCGCCCAGCACCAGGCTCTGTTCCCGCTGGCGGCCACGGCGGGCAGCCACCGGGCGCGGGCCGTGGCCGGCATGGCCCTCAGCTTCCTGGACATGGTCAGCCACTTCGACCGGGACTTCTCCCACCGCCTCCACCTCTGCGACGTCAAGCCCGAGAACTTTGCCATCAGGGCCGACTTGACGGTGAGTGGCGGGGGGCCCGGGCGGGAGCGGGCGTCCGGAGGCTGGTCCCCAGAGAGCCCGGCTCAGCTACGTCCCGAGCCCCAGGGCCTGGGGACTGCGGGCTGTGGCTGTGCCCAGAGGAGGGACCTTGCCGCATCACCCCCAGGTCGGGGGCTTCCCGAGCGCAGCTCGGGGCGGGGAGTAAAGAAGACACCTCCTAGGAGCTGAGGGGCGCAGGAGCGCGAGGAGAGGCACCGGGGTGGGGTCGTGCAGGGCCAGTGTGCGGGGGGACATGGCCGAGTAGCCTCAGCACTGCTGCTTTCTGCTCCCGTGATTCTCCAGGATGAGGCTGGGAAGGGGAACTGCACAGGCCCGTGGAGGCCACAGGGCACTGTCCTGGCCATGAAGGGGCCTGAGTGTGTGTCTCTACCCAGACTTCTCCAGCCGAGGGCCCGGTGGCCCTCACACACTGGGACAGGGCCCTAGGGCAGGGCCGGGACTCACCCAAGGCTGATCGCCTCCTCCAGGCCCTGCTGACTGGCCCCAAGGGACAGCAGCTCTGCAGCGGCCTCAGGGCACCAAGCACAGAGCCAGCCCCGGGTGGACACCTGCAGCCCCCTCCTTGGTCACCTCCCAGCTTTGCCTGATGTCCTGTCCCTTAGGGAAGCTGCGATGCCAGGGCAGTGCAGGAGAGGCAGGAAACGGGCCAGGAGATTCTGGGACATTCTTCCAGAAAGTTTTGGGAGGTTCCAGGAAGGCTGTCGACTGGACAGTGAGCTCTGGAGGGGCCAGCTGCCGGCCAGAGCTCCCTGTGGGCCCTCCAGGTCAGGTGGTCACGAAGGGGGGGGGGGGTGTTGCCCAGCCCATTCCTCAGAGCAGAAGCCCAACCCTAGCTTCCTCCCTGGTGCCCAGGGAGGGGCTTCCAGGGCCCCCTTTTCTTCCCCAGAGAAGCCCCTATAGGGCCAGCCGCTCCCTGCTCAGAGACGAACCATGGGGTCTGCACAACCACTGGGGGTGTTGGCCACGTCCACTCGGCATTGCCTGTCCTATGTGTGGGGGTGGGGGGTGACTGGGCACTGCCCGCCCTGCCTGCTGCAGGTTCTCTGGGTTCAGGGAGGTCAGTGAGGCTGTCTGAGTGGGTCCCAGGACCAGCTCAACAGGAAGGCAAGCGGTGGGGTGTCCACAGGAGCAGGCAGTGTGATGGGTGTCCATGGGAGTGGGCAGTGGGCAGTGTCCTGCAGGGCCTGTAGGTCCCGGCATCCAGTCAGGAGCATCTGCTCAGCTCGAACCCCGGCCTTTTCACGTGAGGGGCTGTGGGGAGGAACGGGGTGTGTGTGGGGGGGTGCAGCCTGGACCCTGCCGTCCTCTGTGACTGGTGCTTATGGGAGCCGCAGGGCACGTGACCATTAGCTTTCAAAGGCAAGTTCGTTGGCTAGCTCAGAGCTCAGGTGCAGGGCTCAGGGTCAGCTCAGGGCTCAGCTCAGGGCTCAGGGCTGGGGTGCAGGGCCCAGGGTGCAGGTGTGTGACCTGGCCTTGAGCCCAGCACGGCTGGGGCAGGTCAGGGTCTGAACCCTCAGGCTACTCACTCCGATACTGCCCCCTGAAGAAACCCAAGTCTTGCGCCCTGATACTCTCCTGTGAAGACAGCAGGCTCGTTAGCCAAACGCTTTCTAGTGTGTTAGCGGGGAGAATAATGAAATCCAGTATTTCTTTTGGCCTAATAATGAGAGGAAAAATAGACTTAAAGGACAATTCCTCTTTCTGCGCCAGAATTAGCAACGAGGCAGAGTTCTTAAATAAGGAAAATTTCCCCATTCTTCTGCAAAACCAGTTTAAGCATTTATTGATAATATTAAAAACACATCAACAAATGTTTCTCTTAAAATTACAAGCAGAGAAAAAAGTCCTAAAGAAAATCGTCTAAATGGAAACTGCTGGTTAGCAAAAGGAAAACCACTCGGCCCCATTCCTGAGCCAGCGCTTATGCTACTCGTGGGGACATTTTTCTTCGTCACCGGCTCTTAGCCCCAATCTATACTGTTAAAGTAGCACCTGGATCAACCAATACCACATATTGATCCATCCAATGTGCTCAGAGGTTTGCTCGCCAGACAACAAATCAGTGGGAAAGTGGGCTGTCAGGGAGCGTCACCGGTTGCACATGCCCAGGCTGGCTGTCGGCGTGACGGGTCACTGGGCCCCGGTCAGCACCAGGGAGGGGTCTTTGGTTACAGCTCCTCTTTATTTTCACTCTTCTTCATCTTTTTTTGTTTGTTTTTTGCTTTTTGGGTCACACCTAGTGATGTACAGGGGTTACTCCTTGCTCATGCACTCAGGAATTACTCCTGGCGATGCTTGGGGGACCATATGCGATGCTGGGGATCGAACTCGGGTCAGCTGCGTGCAAGGCAAACGCCCTGCCCGCTATACTATTGCTCCAGCCCCTTCTTCATCTTTTTTGTGGGGTGGACACACCCAGTGGTGCTCAGGTCTGGCTCCTGGCTCTGTGCTCAGGGCTGACTCCAGCTCTGTGCTCAGGGCTCACTCCTGGCTCTGAGCTCAGGCCTGATTCCTGGCTCTGTGCTCAGGGCTCACTCCTAGCTTTGTGCTCAGACCTGACTCCTAGCTCTGTGCTCAGGCCTGACTCCTGGCTCTGTGCTCAGGCCTGACTCCTGGCTCTGTGCTCAGGCCTGACTCCTGGCTCTGTGCTCAGGCCTGACTCTTGGCTTTGTGCTCAGGGCCCTCTCCTGGTGGAGCTAAGGATCAAACCTGGGTCAGCCAACTGCAAAGCACGTACTCCGCCCTCTGTGTCCAACCCCCATCCACTTTTTTATTTTTCTTTCTGGACTGCACCCGGCAGTGCTCGGGGCTAACTCCTGGCTCTGCACTCAGTGCTCACTCTTGGTGGGACTTGGGGACCATACAGGGTGCTAGAGGTGGGACCTCAGCCAGCCAGGCGCTGGGCAGACGCCCTCCCTCCCGGCTGGGCCATCGCTCCAGCCCCAACCCCCACCTGCAATTTTCAGGCCCATCCAGCTTCCTCTCCTGATTGATTTTCTAAGAATCTCCTAGAAGCCCGCAGCTCTCTGCCTTCTCCCCGGAGGGAAACCTCCCGTCTTGGCGGGGGCGCCTCCCACCTGGCCCCCGCGGGGAATCTGGGCCCAAGGAGGCTCCTTTTGAGCAGCTTCCAAGACGAGGAGGGGCCGCTGTGCCTGTGTCGGCTTGCGAGGGGCCTTGAGAGGGGCCGCACCTGCCACGGCCCCCCTCCCAGCCTCCCGTTGCCTGTCAACCACGAACCCCGACGCGGCGTGGGCGCTGCAGGCCCCCTGGACTCCGCATTCAGGTGGCGCAGATCTGCCCGCGGGAGGTGTGACTCTCCTCCCGGGGCTGCAGCCTGTCCAGTCGGGGGCCAGGAACAGCGTGGGGGACTCCGGTCACCTGATGGGAACAGAGCTGCTGCCACCGGGGCAGCCCCTCTTGGCCCCGAGTCTGACCTCTAGGCCTGACCAGTTCCAGCGACCCCCCTCAAACCTGTGGGTCAAGGGGTCAACCCTGTGAGGGGACGTCCTCATGGACCCCCCGCGTGGACCACTGGCTGGTCCCAGCTTGGCCCCTGCCCTCTGGGAAGGAGCCTCTGTGGGCGTAGCTTGACCTGAAGGAAGGTCGGACGCCGGGTGCTGAGGGCTGGGTTCCCTCCTGGACACTGCAGAGACGCAGCGAGTAGAGTCAGGGAGATGTGTGCGGGTGCACGCCAGGCTGCCCCACGGGGATTCTCCGCGGTCAGTGTGACCATGGAACCAGGCCGGCGATGGGCACTCCCAGGGTGACCGGGCGTCTTGTTTGTTCTTCGGAGCCCAAGGCCCTGACCTCCGGCCCCGGGCAGAGCCGAGCCCTGTGTCCCCTGGGTCCCAGGTCGTGGCCATTGATGTGGACATGGCCTTTTTCGAGCCGAAGATGAGGGAGATTCTGGAGCAGAACTGCACGGGCCCCGAGGACTGCAACTTCTTCGACTGTGTCTCTGAGTGTGATCTGCGCGTGCACAGGTGTGGGGCTCAGCGGGCCAACAGCAACCTGCAGGTGAGTGGGGCGGCCCCCCGGGACGGGAGGGACAGAGGGTCAAAGGGGCCCCTGATCTTACTGGACAAACGGGCAAATAAGGTCCCTGTGGGGTCTGACGGGGGCCCTGGGCCCCGTGTCCCTGTGGGGCGTGGCCCCTGCAGAGCTCGCCGCGGGCCCCCCATGCTCAGGCTCTCAGAGACGCCCTCCCCATCTGTCCACGCAGTCGGCCCCGCTGGAGCCGGGGACACGTGTGGGCGGGATTTTGATTCTCTCTGTTGGCCGCTCTCTGTTGTTGCCCTGGCTGAAGCCCTTGTGCCGTGGGCAGCCCCGGGCCCTATGCAGAGACTCGAGGCCGCCTGCCCGCCTCTACCCCCAATACCTGCGGCTTGTCTCTGTGAGAGGCTCGTCTCTGTCTGCTCTGCCTCATACTCGCCTGAGATTCCGTTCCCTGCTCGGACCAGCTCTCCCGTCCCTTCCTCCCCTGCCGCAGCCAGAAAACAGCACAGCCTCACACAGACCTGGTCACAGGGATCGACCAGGACATGGGGATCCACCTGGACATGGAGACCTACCCGGTCACAGGATCCACTGGGTCACAAGGATCCACCAAGTCACAGGAATCCACTGGGTCATGGGGGGTCCACCAGTCACAGGGATCTACTAGGTCACAGGGATCCATTGCTCATGGGAATCTGCCGGGTCAAGGGGATCCACGGGATCACAGGGATCCACCCAGTCACAGGGATCCTCACCTGGGATCCAGAGCCTGACCAAAAGGCAGAATTTGGGCTTCTGTGACCAGATCAGGGTCCCTGTGACCGGGTTCGGCTCCGGGCCCTAATGGGATGGACTCTGAGGGTGGCTGTGCTTCCGTGATGATCCACAACATGGAGGCGGACGTCTCTAGGGAGCCTGTGTGGGTGTTGGAAATGATTCCTCTGCACTCGAGAAATTCCACTGTGCACAGCTGATTATTGCTCTTGGATGAGGTCCTGGGAATGAAATGATGTTTTAAGGATTCGAGGGGAAACGAAGCGCTCGTTAGGTGAGCAGAAAGCCAGCTGCGGTCAGGGCTTAGCGAGGTGGACACACTGCGATGGGCCCACACAGAACTCTCCCTCCCGCGCGCTCTGGAAACGGGTGTCCCAGCCTCTCTTCATAAGGCCACGCTGGCCACCACTGGCCACCCTGGAGCTGGCCCTTCCACCTGGGTCCCTATGGCTGCCAGGCACGGGGTGGCTGTGTGTGTATGTGTGTGTGTGTGCGTGTGCGTGTGCGTGCGTGCGTGCGTGTGTGTGTGTGTGTGTGTGTGCGTGCGTGCGTGTGTGTGGCGGGGAGGGCAGTGGCCGTGATCCCACCACTTGTCCTCGGAAATGCCACTTTCCCTTCTGCTCAGAGGCTGTCTCCCTTCCCTCTAGGCCGGGGCGGCCCTGGGTGCGGGAGCCACTGCCCCTCACTCGCGTCCTCTCCTCCAGGTCATCTGCGACAAGATATTCCTCCGCTGGTTCCCCTCCATGCTCCGTGGCGCCGCCGTCTCCCCGCGGCTGCAGCAGCAGGTCCTCGAGGCAGTGCAGGAATGTGCCGCCCCCGGAGCACCCGCCGGCAGCCCCCAGACCGCCGTGCCTGACGTGTTCTGGAAGCTTCAGCGCCTCCTCCAGGCCACACTCCTGGAACTGCAGGAAGAGCCCAAGTAGCCTTTCCTGAAGCCTTGGTGCTCCCAGGGCCAAGGGCCTCACAGTCCGGTGCTCCCATGGCTGCAGGCCTCAGAGCCCAGTGCTCACTCGGCTGGTGGCTTCAGAGCCCAGCTTTGCGGCAGAGAGAGATGTTCCACGAGTGACTCCAGGGGTCCCTTTGCCTGGAAGGGGGACACTAACGTTGCGCCCTCATCCCTGGGCCAGGCTGCTCTGGCCAGCAGTGTCACACTGACCGCTGGCCTGTCTCTGCCAAATGACCTGCAGGAGGGGCACTGTCCCTGGCATGGGTACCCCTGCACCCAGCCCTTCTCCCTGACCACTGTCACGGCTGTCCCTGAGTTCCAGGTGTGTGTCTCTGGGTAGCTGTGCGTGCGTGTCTGAGTGTACACATGTGAGTGGGACTGTGCACGTGTGGGGGGTATGCACACGTGTGGGAGTGTGTCACGTGTGGGGCATGTGGAATTGTGCACACGCATAGGATCATACACACATGTATGGAAAATGCAGACATGTGGCAGTGTGAACACGTGTGTGGAACAGTGCATATATGCGGGAGTGTGAGGACATTGTGGGATCACGCACACACATAAGAACATACACGCGTGTGCAAACGTGTGTGGGATCATGTACGCTTGTGTGGAATCGGGTACTACATGTGCAGAATAGTGCACACGTGCAAGATTGTGAGCATGTGTGGGGTCAAGCACACACGTGTGTGGGAGTGTGGACATATGTGGGATCATGCACGCATGTGTGCAGGAGTGTGAACACGTGTGTGGAGTCAGGCACATGCGTGCGGGTCTGTGCCCTTCTTTCCCCTGGAAGCAATAAAGCAGGGGCTGCCTTCCCGTGGCCGGGAGCGTGTTTAGGACATGCTCGGCAGTGGAGGAATCCTCAGGTTTCTGAGTCATACTTTGGGGCGCCCCCCCGGGGGAAGGATCAGCCCTGGCGGAGGCCGTGTCTGCCTGTCTCAGCCTTCCAGGGGGTCCCGTAGGGCTTCTCTGCGGGGGCAAAGCCTGAGCCACGTTCAGGTCGGTCCCGAGGCAGGGGGTTCAGGGAGCGGGTCACCCCCAGGAACCCCCGGGCTTTGGAGAGGGGTTGGGTGGGGGTGATGGCCCGACGCGCGGCCAGCAGGTCAGGCAGGGTCGCCCCCGTCCTGAGGCTGCCCGCGGGGCGGCTGGCCTGGGCATCTCCCCAGTCCTGCGGGCCCGAGGGCATCCAAGGCCCCTTCTGTTCTCTGGCCCTCTATGGCTCCTGCCCTGGGCCCCGCCCCTGCCCTGCAGTCCCCCCAACCCCCTAGCCCTTGGCCCCTGACGCCCACGGCCCCCCGCCCCTGACCCGTGGCCCTAGTGGAGACCGGCTGGCCCTGCTGTCGTCTGTGTCCTACAGGAGTCCCAGGCTGACCTGGGCTTGGGCACGCTTTGAGCTGGGCCCAGGGGCAGGTCAGTGGGGCCTGGGCGGGTCAGTGGGGTGGGGTGGGCCCTGCCCTGGCCCCCTGAGCTTTGGCTCCGTGCTGCAGCCGCCCCCCTCACCCCCACCAGGGAAAAGCCCCTTTTCCTCTGGACCAAGTGGACACAAATGCTCTGGTGCTTGGGCGGCGACCGGGACTGGGCTGGGCCGCCCCGACCCCAGACTCCAGATCCCGCACCTGCCCACCCGCCCACCCGCCGCCATGGCTTGCGCTCGGGGCCATCAGGCCATTTCTGGGTGTTTGCAGAGTGACCCTTGGACATGCGCAAGGCCCGAGGATCACTCTGTGGCCCAGAGACTCGGCCTGGTCCAGCTGCCCAGCGGTTCCGACCCAGCCTCTCCCAGAGGGGCAGCCCCCAGCTCTGTTCCCGCGGCGCTGCCTCCAGCACCCAGGGGTCCCTCCAGACCAGGTCGCAGGGCGCTGTCATGTCCCGCCTGCACGGAGCACCGTTTCCCTGTCCCCTGTGACACCGGGGCTCAAACATCAGGCGTGGGGACTGGCCACCGCTGCTCTGGTCATCTCGGGGCTGGGCGTCCGTGAGGTCTGAGCCGCACACCTTTCTCAACCCTCCTCCCCACAGAGTGAGCAGCAAAAACAGCTCCCGGTGCACCTCCTCCAGGCAGCCCTCAGGGTTTGCCCAGTTGTGCTGCCCTGATGAGCCTCCGGACGGCCGCCAGAGCAGGGCTCTTCTGGACACTCGTCTGGAAGCTGTTCTCCGAGTGTCTGCCGAAGTCTGGCTGGGAATTCCGGAAACCAGTGGACAGCTCGGGCACGCACAGCTGGTCAGCAGATGCGCCTGGCTGGCATCTCCCGGGCCGCGTCCACCGGCTGCCCTGACCGGCGCCAAAGTGTCCCCACATCCTGGTGCAGTGTCCCCGTCCTGGAAGGACGTGGTGGGGGGGGGGGCACCAGCCCCTGCTCACCCGCCCTCACCACCCCTGCCTCTCACGGGTGAGGGGGAAGTGTCTGGCCGCAGCTGCCCACCAGGAGGCCAGCACAGGCCCCTTCCCCAGGGTGCCCACAGATGGACCCTGTGCGGGAGGGGTTTGGGAAGAGGACAAGGCCGGCTCACTGCCCTCACGCCCCCTGGCCTCACTGCCCCAAGCCCCTGGCTTGGGTCCGGCCACGTCACCCAGTGCTTCGGACAGCGCATGGCCGCAACCCCCTGGGGCCACAGCTGGGACGCCCTCACCTCACAGCTGGGGGCACCCTCACGCATGTGCTGGACCTTGTGCCCTGAGCTTTAATGCATCACAGAGGTGGTCACTGGGCCTGTGTGGTGGGGGGACACCTAGCTGGGGTAGAGACAGACCCCCATGGGGTTCCTGGGTTTGCAGGGGCCCTGACGACTCCTGGTCTCTTCTTCTGTACGTTCTCCTGTGAGATATCTGGAAGGACGGAATGTTCTGGAGTGTAGCTACCACACAGGTCCAGCGAGGCCATCTCAGAGCTAAACTAAGTTCACACAGTTGGAGCTCTTGGACTGTCCGGGAGGGGACCACGGCTTGGAGAGGCCCAGCGGTCACATCTGGAACAGAGCAGTGGTCACCAGTCCCCACGCCTGATGTTTGAGCCCCGGGGGTGTCACAGAGGAGAGGGAAATGGTCCATGCAGGCAGGACATGACAGCGCCCTGCGACCAGGTCTGGGGGGACCCCTGGGTGCTGGGGGCAGTGCTGCGGGAACAGAGCCGGGGGCTGCCCCCAGAGACGCCGTGACCCCTGGGCGGAACATGTCGAGGGACCCCCCTCCTCGACCCGTGGTGTGTGTTCCCAGCAGCTTTCGTATGCCCACCCCCCTCGCTGGTCCCATCCCCTCGCACGGTGACCCCGGCCTTATAGACCGGCAGGGTGCGCCCGTCTCTCTGAAACCCCTCATGGAGGACTGGGGCAAAGGCCTCTTGCTCTCTGCTCTCTGCTGGGGTGACTGAGACCAGGCAACGGCCACCTGCAGACGCCATGGGGACCTTCTGCGGGGAACTGAGCGGGTCGGTCGGAACCCGAGTGCGGGATTGGTACTGGGCATTTATTTGTTTATTTATTTCTTTTTCTTTTCTTGTTTTAAGTTTTTTTTTTTAACTGAATCACCGTGAGATGCACATTTACAAAAAAATAGTTTTATTTGGCTTTTTTTCCCCCATGCTGATAAATTTTATATTATTTATTTTTATTGAATCACTGTGAGATGCAGTTACAGTTGTTCATGGTCGGTTTCAGGCATGCGGTGTTCCAACGCCCGTCCCTTCAGTGCGTGTTTCCCGCCGCCAAGGCCCCCCCTTTCCCTCCCACCACCCCTATGGCACACGCTTCTCTCCGTTTCTCCCTCCTTTTGTGGTTTACAGAGCAGGTACTGAGAGGTCACCGTGTACATCCCTTTTCCTGCTGTCAGCTCTTGTCCAGAGTGATCACAGTGGTGCCTGGCCTGTCCTAGCCGCCCTCTCCCAGGCCCCCACTCACAGCAAGCTTCCACCAGGCCTCCTGGCCCAACACGCGCGTTCAGACCCACCTTGGCATCCTGGCCCGCTGGTGGGGCTCCCAGAGGCTCGGACGGGGCACCGGGAGGGGCCGGGATGCATCTCGACCGAGGCTTTAAACTTGAGTTGGCCGTTTGCTGCTTTCTCTGGACAGAGGCCTTCTTTGGGGTCTGCCCCCAGGACCTGTGCTGGTGGTGACCGTGAGTCTGTCCTTTGCCCACTGCAGGGCACCGTGACGGCGAGTGAGGACAGAGGCTGCTGGGAGGAGACGGGCACGAGGCCGGGAGTGGGCACAGATGTGGCCAGGCAGCTCCGCCGGATGGAACCAGACGAGGGGGGCAGGTGCCCCAGAGTGGACTCCAGCCTGGGGAGGGTTCCAGGCCCGCGGCGGTCCCTGGGGCCCCTCTGTGCTCCCTGCTCTGGAAGCCGGTCCTCCTGGGCCAGGTGGCTTTGGGGTCTTCTGTGCATCATCACGACCTGAGCAAAGATCCAAGGAAGGGCGTCGGGAAACCGAGCAGTGGCTTGTGGGTGCAGCCGTGGGCGCGGGAATCCCGTGAGTGTGGCCGCTGAGGAACAAGTGGGTCGGGGAGGGGGGCGGCTGCTGTCCTACTTCCCCCCCACTCCTGCTGCTTCAAGGCAGCCCTCTGGGGCTGGAGCTCGACACCCCTTGGTGCTACCCACTGGCTTCCGGGATGACCCCCCAAAGCCCCCAGGCTCAGCATTACCGTCTTGCCGCACTGGGACCATCTCCCTTCTCGGCCCCCGTCTCCTCTGGTGTCCTGCCTGCTGTGCATTTGCAGGCTGGGAACCAACCCGGGGTGCCACGAGGATGTGGAGGATCCCGATAATCTCGCGACCCCCCCAAACTGCTGCCAGGGATGACCCCAAGCAAATGAACTGCACGTTCTCCTCCCTGCCTCCTTTTCTGTCTGTTTCCTCTGGACCATCAGCCCATGAGCTTCTGCCAGGCTCGCCGCAGTCCGGGGATCCGGGGGTGGCCCTGGTGGTCTCTGGAGTCGGAAGAGGGGGCGAGTGTGGAGCCACTGGCCAGGGCTCTGGGCCCCCAGGCGCTCGCCTGCGCTGAGCGTCGCTGCGCCTCCCCCCACCAGGGGGCGCTGTGAGCAGCAGCAGCAGAAACGGCACATTTTCACCCATTCTAAACCACGAAGCCAGCATGTAGGCTGGTGAATTCCAGGTCACACCAAGCCTCTCCATGTTCTTAGGGAAGGGTGCATATTTAAGGTCACAGATAAGATTTTTCCCACAGCGCATAATTTGGGTTGTCTGGTAATGATTCTTTCTGGTGATGACAGCTAATGACAACATGTGTTTTTAAAAGTCAGTCTTCCAAGAGTCGATGTTCAGTGTTTCCCAGGGAAACCTATTTTGAACTGTTAAATTTAATAAGATTATGGGCCAAGGCCTTGGAAAAACTACAAGTCTATAAAAATCAAGGTTATTTTTACTCAGCTCCTTCGTATGGGACAGTTAGGAAGCTGAGCATTTCTCTCAGGCTCAAAATAGGTGCTACCTATGTCTGAACAGGCTCAGACGCTGTGATTTTTTTTCCCATGTAGCCGCTTGACTTTATGTTTCCTGAAATGTGTTTGAAAATCAGACCCTGTGAAAATGCAGCTTCTCTGGTAGGCTGCGATCAGTCTGAGAAGATAATGGCATCATGTGCACCCTCGTCCTTCTTGGCTGCCTTCAGATTCCAGCCGCCTTCCTCCCATTGTATTTCTGACATGGCCTTCTTTATGTTCTGCGATTTTCCAAAACGACCTTCTGAAACTTTGTTTTCTTTAGGAGGATGATGAGTCGGTTCTGTGTTTCAATTGGCAAAACACTTTGCCCAACCCTGACCGTCCCCTTCTCCTCCTCTGAAGAAGCGGTACCTATTGGCCGCCGTTCTGTGTCACTGATCTAGTGACTCACGGGGTCTTGGGGGCACTGCTGCCCTGAGCCACAGAGACCACTCCTTCCTGTGCCTCCCAGCCCCTGGTCCCATCCGTGCCTCCTGCCCCCTCCTCGTGTGGTTTTGCAAGTGGGCACAGGACACCTCCTCGGCCTCCCCAGCAGAGGCGAACACAGACCGATGGTGAAATGGCCCAAATGACACAGAGTCCTACAGCACATCTGAGCAGGTCCGAGTCTGGGACTGCGGGAGGTGCGGCCGCTCATTTAGAGGGAACGCCTTTCAGTGGAGACAGTTCTTCTGGGGGGACTAGGTCTCCCAGGAACGTCTCTATTGCTTTTTCTCTTTCCCTTAAGTTGCACATATTAAACAATTACGTTTTCTTCTTGTTAATACTCGCAGTTATTTGGATGAAAGCAGTAAGAGATACAGATTCCAAAACTTAGTTCTCTGGGCTCTGAGAGCAAGCAAGGCTTTTTCCGTAAGTCCCAGACTAAGTCCTCAGGTAGTTCAGCTTTTTTTCTTCTCCATGTGGGTCCTGTCTTTTAAGTCTTAATGGCTTGCATCAAGACCGTGATTTTATGCTTTCTAGACTGTTTTGATGCCGGAGTAGCTTTGCCATTCGCTTCTTTCTTTCTTTCTTTCTTTCTTTCTTTCTTTCTCGCTTTCTTTCTTTTTTTTTTTAATTTGCCCTTTATTTGCATCCAAGGCCTACAGTCGGACTCACTTTTTGAAGTGTTAGGAACGACAGCAACCAAAGTATGAGTCAAGTAATTATGACGGATGCCCAGGGGTAGATATATTTCAGAGTCGACCAACTCCCAAATATCAGAGCGTGGCATTAATGGTCTTTCTGTGTTTAAGTAAAGAACGTTGCTCTATAGTAAGATGTAGAAAGGCCACGGGGGAAACGAAAAGCGAGCAATTCACTTCGAGTACGTGGCCCAGAGTCACCGAAGTAGCCAAGCCTGACTTGGGGAATCGCAAAGGAAAGGTTAAAGATAAACTCGGGGGACTGGGATGCTCGTAAGAGCACTGTGAGCTTCCCTGGGAGGGGCGGGGTGTCACAGCTCACAGTCCTCCCATTATTCATCGTTTTGCTCGAGCGGGCCCAGTAATGTCTCCATTGGAGACTTTGTTGTTACTGTGTTTGGCATATCGAGTACATCACGGGGAGCTTGCCAGGCTCTGCCATGCGGGCGAGATACTCTCGGTAGCTTTCCGGGCTCTCCGAGAGGGGCGGAGGAATCGAACTCGGGCCGCCCATGTTGGCTGCGTGCAAGGCAAACGCCCTATCGCTGTGCTATCGCTCCAGTCCAAGGGTGTGGGGTGGAAAGGGGCAATTCTCTGACGAAGCCTGAAACACGCAGGGTTAACATCCACACTCCTCACTGTCACTTCTACTCTGAGGCCCCTGTTGGCCAGGTCCCTGTTGGTCTCTGTCTCCAGGTCACTATTCGACAGCAAATCAGCAACTATGGGCTACAGAGATAACAGTTTAGGGCGTGGCCCTACCTGTGGCCAGCCCAGGTTCCAGAACTGACCCTGGAGCGCAGAGCCAGGATTAGGGCGTGACCATGGCAGGTGTGGCCCAACCCTGCAAGAAGCAAAGCACAGAAGAAGGGTGGCAGGGTGAAGATGGGACCACGAGGGCTCGCTCAGCCGGGTGGGTGTGGGCGGGTCCTCCCAGGCCTGCAGCAGCTGGCCGCCGCCTTGGCCTTACCAGACTGTGAGCAGAGCAGAGGGCCGGATGTCCCCTCCCCACACCCCCTGAGTGGCTGCATGGGTGACACCTGGGCTGGGGAGGCCCGCTCTGAGGGCTGGGCTGTGTCCTGGTGGTAGTACTCAGCGCTTTCTCCTGGTTCAACACTCGGGGATTACTCCTTCAGGGCTCGGGGAATTCTAAGTCGTGCTGGGGACCCAACCCAGGTTGGCCACATAGAAGGCAAGAGCCCTGATCCCTGCGCAATCCGTGCCTGTCACCAGCACATTGCATTGACCTGAGACGGGTTCTGTCCCGAGCCTTCCCTGTCTCCAAGGGAAACGCTGTTTTTTTTTTAAGAAAAATTCAAATATTCTTATATTAAAATGGCTTTGAAATATTAAAGCATGGTGATTTACATTGGTTTTCATAGTTACGTTTCAAAAGTACAATGTCCCAGAAAGATACCCACCAGCATTGTCCATTTTGCTCCACATGTCCCCGGGCCCTCTCCTGTCCCAACGCCAGCAGCCAGGGTCAGCTTGGAGAATTGTTCCTCTTCGAAGGCCAATTGCAGATGGGACCTGTGAGGGGAAGCCCAGGGGCCCGGCCCCACAGGTGCCCAGGGCATGCGGCCAGCCTCCCAGTCCCAGACAGCGTCCGGCAGGGGCTCCGTGTGGGGGTCTGAGCCAGGGAGTGGGCTTCAAAGGCACCCAGGGGATGAATGGACCATCTCTGGACTCAAAGCCGCAGGAAGAGAGACGTTCTTGGCTTTCAATCAATGAGTGACTAATAGTGTTGTCTCTGGCACCAAGTAAGGCATTTGAGAAGGACGCCCCCTCCCCTGGGGGGCTGCGGCTGGGGTCAGACCCCATGAGCGGAGCCCTGGAGTGTGGGGGCGTGGGAACGTCCGGCCGCCCGGCACTGTCCAAGGAGGCAGCGAGGGGCAGTGGGCGGGCAGCCCAGGGTGCTGGGCTTGGTCTCTGTGCCCCCGGGAGCGATCTTGACAGGCCACAGGGCCCGGGGACAGGAGAAGGCGGCTTTGAAGGAGCTTAATGCACCTGGGTCAGAAGGCGACTGAAGGGCCAAACGGGGCTGCCCAGGCCCAGCCCCTGCTCTAGCCACCCATCAGGGCGCCCACGTGCTCACAGGAATGAGGCCTCATGGAAGGCTCCAGAACAAACCCAATTCCCACTGCGTTTGGCAGACACTGTGGGCACTGTGATAAGGGGCGGAGAGCAGAGATTACTCTCCTGTGTGAGATCATTCCCCGAGATCACTCCCCTGAGATCACTCCCATGTGAGATCACTCCCCGAGATCACTCCCCTGAGATCACGGCCATGTGTGAGATCACTTCCCTGAGATCACTCATCTAGATCCCTCCTCTGTCTGAGATCACGCTCCTGAGATCACTCTCTTGCGATCACTCCCCTGTGTGCGATCACTCTCCTGAATGGCCCAAGTCTGGAATGGGAGCACCCTGGGTGCTGACCGCGTGGGAGGCCGGCACTTGCCCCTGGAATGAGCTCCTCTTTACAGAGCTCGCAGATGGGGTGCCCATTCCCATGGCAGGTCCAGGGTCCTCTGAGGGGTCATTGAAGCTGGTATCACGCTGAGATCCACACACCTGCCAGAAGGTCTCGAGCATGGGGCTTCGCTCTGTGGGCAGAGGATCCCGCTGCCGTCGATGAGCCGTGACCTGGGGAACAGGTGACATTCGGGGTCCAGCCGCCTACCAGCTGCCGGGTGTCGCCGCCTTGGTGCCTTATGTCCGGGCCACTGAGAGACACAGCCGAGAGCCCGGGCACCGTCACTGACACCACAACATCGGTGCTGGCGGAAGAGCCCCCGAGGAACTGGGGTGCGGATGTGGGCCATGTGTGGGAACAATTTGGTCCCTGCTCAAAGGGGACTACCCTGTGCTGGGGATGGAGACCAGGTGACCTCAGGCCCTGTCCTGACCGACCCCTGCCCAGTGCCTGCAGCCAGAGGTGGGAGCAGAGCCCACCCTGTAGCGCTGGACCCACCCAGGAGGGACAGTCTGCCCCCTGGGACCCTCAAAGGTCTTGGGCTGATCGTGAAGTCCCCAGGGGAGCTCCCGGGGCATGGACACCACAGGGACAGAAGAGGAGCCAGTGGCCACAGGATGGGTGGGTGGCCGCAGGGGCGGGTGCAGAGTTTGGTGCCCGGGTGACAAGAGGGTTTTGGAAGAGTTAGTGGTGGAGCTGCAGGGCGCAGGGCCATATCTAGTGCTATTGTCACCCTGGAGTGTGCCCCCAGGTGTGCCCCAGCTGGCTTGGAGCGCCTTTGAGGCCCCCACCCTGCAGGCCCCGTGCTGGCCCCGGCTCTCTGGGGAGGGGCCTCCCCTCAGCTTCTCACCATGTTTCTTCTCAGCCGACCCACGCCCAGAGTTCCCCACGCGTTGTCCGCCCCACCCTCCAAGGGCTCTGGGCCCAGACTGCAGGACAGTGCTCCTGCCTAGACACCTTGAGTGTCCCTGGCCAGTGTTGGGAGGGTCAGGATCTGGAGACCAGGACCGTGGACCCAGCGTGCCCTCTCTGCCCCTGGCCTCATGGCCCTGGAGGGAAGCCGGGCTCTCCTCTCCGCTCTGGGCATGCCCCCGCCAGCACAGGCAGGCCCAGGCTGCAGGCGGAGCTGCCCCAGCCTTCTCTGGGGGACAGGAGGGCCCTGACCAGCGCCCTCTGCATGCCTGAGCTCTCTCCGCCCCCCTTGGCTTGCTCCCCCCCCCCCCCCCCGCCTCAACATTTTCCCATTTCTTAGGGCCAGAGAAACTTCCAGGACTTTCCAGAGGAAAGGGCAGAGGAGGAGGCTGGGCAGTCAAGACCTCTGACCTGCACGTGGCCCTATCAGGTGGGGCTGCCCCTGTCCTGGGGGTCTTGGAATGGCAGACGTGTAGGTTCGGGGGTTCTGGAACTGCACAGATGCACGGATTCCTGGGAATGTCGGGGCAGGAGCACCCCGGGGCTGGGGCAGGGGGCGAGCACACTGCAGGCGGGAGAATCTCAGCAGGGCCGGCCCCAGCCCAGCCTCAGTCCCTGGTGCTCATGGCTCATGTCAGGCGCATGGCACTGGGGCTCTGCAGGCCCTGCTCGGTGTCCAGGCTCCGCAGACACGTGCAGTGCCCCGTGTCTTTCTCTTCCCGACCCAGCGACACAGCTTCTCTCTCGGTCCTCCTGTTCCCAGGAGGTTCCCTGGAACACAAGCTCACGGCAGCACCATGTTTCGTCTCTCAAAGCCCCCCACTCCTTAGGTCATTTCCTGCCTTCAACGCGATCCATGGAGCAGCATCCATGCCACGTGCTGGGATGATGGATATGGATATGGATATATATATAAATATATAACACGCAACGCAGCCAACATGGCAGACCCGAGTTCGATTCCTCCGCCCCTCTTGGAGAGCCCGGCAAGCTACCGAGAGTATCTCGCCCACACGGCAGAGCCTGGCAAGCTCCCCGTGACGTATTCGATATGCCAGACACAGTTAACAACAAAGTCTCCAGTGGAGACGTTACTGGGCCCGCTCGAGCAAATCAATGAACGGGGGGACAGTGAACAATATATATATATATACATATATATATATATATAGCGAGAGAGAGAGAGAGAGAGAGAGTCAGCTATGGTGACACAGGACATCACAGACAGTGTCAATGATGCACACACCCGAGTACCCGGGCACCTGCCCTCCCCATGAGTCTGCTCAGCTGTGCCAGACTCCTGCGTTTCCTGACCACCCTCAGGGAAGTGTCTCTGTGTCTGACTTTCCACGTGACTAAACCCTGCAGGTCCCAATGTCAGCAGGCAGGCTCCTGAGAAGCTGCCACTTTTGCAAGACAAAGAGGAAGAAACTGTGGCCCACATAGGAGAAAAATCTGGTGAACCAATTTAGAGGGAAATGAAACAACTCAAAGAAATGATGAATTTAGCATTTAAACAGCTATTTTAAACATATTCAAATATTTACAGGAAACAGGAAGGGAAACCATAAGCGGTAAGACTAAAAGGACGGTCTGGAGCTGAAGGTACAATTGGAAATGAACAATGCGGTGGTTTGTGACCAACAGCAGACTCTAAGCAAAAGAAAAGATCAATGCATTGAAGACAAAGCGTGAAAAAGACTGAAAAAGGTCAAGAATATAATAACCCTAGTCAAGCTCCAGCAAGAGGAAGAGAGCCAGAATTACATTAATGAAGAAAGGATGTCAGAAAAACATTGTTTTTAAGTAGGCTCACCATGAATGACAAAGGTACTTATGATGGAATTCCAGGCATTCAACGTCCCAACCTCAATCCCTTCACGCTTGCCCACGTCCCTCCACCAATGCCCCCAGTTTCCCTTCAGCCCCTGCAGCCTGTCTCTATGGCAGGCACTCATTAGAAATAGTTGGACTGGATCAAATATCTAAAGCAAAGACTCAGGCTCAAAATTACTGTAAAGAAAACCATGCATCATGACTTACGGTCAAATTGGGGATTACCTTGATAAAAACAACAAGAGGAAAACAGAGACATCCATTTAGACGAGCAAAGGTAGCAATGAGAACAGATTCTCTCTCCCAGCGAAGAAAATAAAGCAGTATTTTTAAAGGACTGGAGGAAAAATAATCTGTCAACTTAGAATTTTATACCCAGAAAGTGTACCTTCAAAAGGAGAAGGCATACATGAAAACTTTTTAGTCTTTTAGTACCTTTATTGAAAACCCTAATTCCCAGGAGAGAGAGAGAGAGAGAGAGAGAGAGAGAGAGAGAGAGAGAGAGAGAGAGAGCAGAGAGATGGAAGGAGAAAAGACAAGGGAGAGAGAGAGGAAAAGTGTATGTCTTAGAGGCACAAAAACGTAACTTTTGTGAGCTACAATAGATGTGAAATAGTTTGTTAGGGGACTAGGAGGTGGCTCAAAGGCCAGGGCCACATACGCTGCACTGGAGCCTCAGCGTTAGTCTCCAGTGTGTTACCCCGAGTACTGCGCTAAAATTAGCCTGGAGCATTGCTGGTATGATCCCAAATCAAAAATTAAAATAATGGGAGGCATCAGAAATGGATCTGTGCTGGTAAATATTAAGAAGTTTTGTTTTCCGTTTAAATCTCCTTTAAACTTTGTTCATGAAAGAAAACAACAGTCTCAATGTGCTGTGAGGTCTCTTACCTGCTGTGGAAGTAAGCTGCATGACAACAAAAGCAGACCAGACGACAGAAACAGATAGACAACCAATGGCTCATTTGCAAAGGTGCAATGTGATAGGTCAAAAATACATACCGCCGACTCTAGAGCAACCTCTATGTATGGTTCATGTCAAGTAAATACTTCAGCAAGAAGTGCAGACCACTGTTGTAGCAGTAAAACCAAATCCTAAAAATGACTCCCAAGCAAGGCAGGAAGAGAGAAGAGAGACACAGGCACAGAGACAAGCACAGAGCTGAGGGAGAACTCTAGCTGCCAGGGCACTGCGCTGCAGTGAACCGAACCCTGCGGGTACCACAGCCAATGAGGATCTGGAACGGAATTACAGACCCTTGTGATGCGCCCAGAGAGCTCTCGGGAGCGCCCACCTGCGGACAGCCACAGGCCCCCGAGCTCAATTCAATCTCCAGTTACGTGTTTCACCGATGATGCCTTAGAACTCTCTAGGGGAGGTGAACCAGCTAGTCCAAAGTGTGGCTACTTCCGAGGGGGCAGAGAGAGAACCAGAACTGCGGCGGGTGGGTCTGTGCAGCTCAGGGTGGCTGGCCCTAGTCTCACATGACGTCTGTTCCTCACACCTGCCTTACAAACCCTCGGAGCCACTGCAGCTTTCCCGGCTGCTAAGGGGTTGGTGAGCGTGTGAGGGACGAGGAGTTCTGTTCTCCTGCAGTGCCCTGGCATCCTGTCCAGGTCCCTCCTGCCTGGGGAGCAGCCGTGAGCCGCCTCCCTTTCTGTTCTTCCACTGTCCTTCCATAGAAGCGGGCAGGTGGAAAGAGCTGTGAGGGGCCGCGGCCCGCTGCCCACGCCCCTGCAGAGTGAATGAACCCGCTTGATTCAAGCCAGTTGGGCAAAACGGAACCCAGTTTAGTTGGAACCACCAGCCCCCGCCCGCCCTCATCACACACAAAAAATGACAGCATCTTGTGTTTTGTTAGTGTTTGATGTCTGCAGATTCTTCCTTTGATTTCTCCAGATGTGGGCATCTCCCGGCCTCCGTTCAACACACACTGGCAAGGCCTCGAGGCTGGGTGCCCAGTGTGCCAGGCGCTGCCTGCCCTTCTGCGGCGCTCCGAAGGGACGGTCCTGCACAGAGGGTCCGAGATCGCACAGGGCAGCGGTGGCCCCAGTGCGGGTGTTCATGGAGGGGTCAGCACGTGCAAATATTCTCTTTGGCCCAATAAAACCTGGGTGGAGACGGTATGAAGCCAACAGCAGCGATTTCTCAGAGAAGAGCCTGCCGCTGTGAGCTAATGTTCCTCTGTGGCAGGGGAACGCCAAACCATATGTTTCAACATAAACATTTGCCCATCTAGAAAGCACATTCCATCCTCGGCGCGACCACAGCCGAGCTGCCCTTGAAATTAGGTTAACTAGAGCTCAATGCAATCACGGGTGACCCAGCGGGCAGGAGCGGCCTGGGGATTGAATGTCGCACTTTATGTTGCTTTCACTCTCAATTTCATCTCTTTATTTCCTTAGGGACCGCAGAGCAGCGGGGTAATGAAACGTGGTAAATCTGGTTAGAGAGAAATATGACTAAAAATACATTCCTTCGTTTCATCTCCTCGGCCCTGGGAGGAGCGCAGCTTCAGTTTACAGAAGACTTAAACTAGTTTTTAAGAGAAAAAAGGCAGGCTGTGTTTATTGCTCTGGGGAACACGGCGGGCTCCATTTTAGAGCTTATCAAAGTGATTTGTTCTCTACATAGGTCATAAACGTCTTCCTGCACCCACACGAGTCAGGAGTCAGGAGGTCAGGAGTCCTGAGCTTAGGGGGAGGGTCCTGAATGGTGGCAGGCCCAGGGCTGCGGTAGGCCAGGGCGGCACTACCCCAGGAGAGGGTGGGAGGGGGTGCGAGCCCGTTCACAGGCCCAGGCCACTCCAGGCAGCGATGGCCACAGTGCTCCATGGAAATGAGCATCCCCAGAGCGTTTGGCTGTAAAGCTCCTTCCTACAGCCCCTCCCCCTCCCCTGCCACCTTCACTCCCATGGCCACGAGGAAGGACCCGAGGGTGAGAGGGCAGGAGGGGACAGAACCCGAGCTGAGGGTGAACAGCGGCTGTCCTGAGACCAGGGAGAGGCAGGAGACCGTCACCCTCAGCAAGAGCCTGACCAGGCCCACAGGCACCGGGTGTGAGCTCCTGGCCCCTCCCTCTCCACGGTGCCACTGTTGCCAGCAGCAAAGGCTGCGCCCTCACACAGCCCCGCCCCACCCCTCCCTGCTACCAGGGGGCTCCAAGCCTGGTCCTCCCTCAGCCCTGGCAGCAGCAGCAAGGCTGGTGTTCACTGATGGAGCCCAAGAACTTAACAGTGGAGCTGGCACAGACGATACCAAAGGGAACAGCGCAGGGCTTCCGGAACAGATGTGCAGAAAGGAGCTTCAAGAGTGTCTCGACGTCTGAGAGCAAATGCACATACAAACTCGACAGACAGAGAACCTGTCATTTAAACTCTTCCAATCACTCTGACATGACAAACATCTGTTTGAAGCATCTTTATTTTTTATTTAAGACAAGATGTAGGATACAACAACAAACATTTTGAGCATCAACAAATAATAATTGTGACATCATTAGACACTCATAGATACTGGCCAGTCTCGATTACCAATAAAGACCCAGTATGTAGATAAAGGGAACAAACCTGCTTAGAGGAATTTTCAGGTAAAAGCTAATCACTACCAAATCCAGTTTTAAACCTATTTGTTATGGCAGCAACGAATCTAAATATATATAAAACAATATAAGCAAAACCAAAGAACAATATGATGAGCAATAAGTGCTGTGAAAGTCAAAGTATAAATCGTACATGAAAAACACTTTTCCACTTCTATGAAGAGAATTTGATAAAAACGTAGTAATATTTGGTTGTTCTTAAATGAAAATACTGATCTTTTAAGATTATGTGTATGAGCAGATAAAAGCTAATATACACAAAGACTGGGGCACAAAGACTAATTTCAGGCCAACGTACTGATGTTTGTGTCCGTATTTCTTATCGGTCATCAAAAACTCACAGAAATTCAGCTTCGTAATCATCCGAGCTCTCCAAATTGCAGCCTTTCACGTGAACTGACATCTCTCCATCAGTGGCCTTGGCAGAGGGACACAGCAGGATGCTCCGTGATCACTTCTTTCAACACGAAGAGGTAAAGAATCCATCAGTGGCTGCATCTGCAGTGAATCGCACACAGGAGACACACACGAAGCTTTTAAGCTCTTCTTAGGGCATTACAAAATGAAAATGAAACCTGTCTTAAACCAGAAACGGAAATGATCCCAATACAAGCAAGTTTTGTCATAAAGATCAATATTTAAAAGTATCATCCTACTCTAGAGGCTGAGATGTGGCTGAGTAGTAGAGTACTTGTTTCCATGTGTTAGGTCCTTGGTTCGATTCCCAGCACTGCACAGTCCCCCAAGCACCAGTGGGAGTGAGCCCTGGGCATGGGGCTGGAACAGTCCCTGAGATTATACACACACACACACATACATGTGGCACTCAAGCCCTGTGCTGGACACTAGTGGAGAGGCAGGGGAGCATTCTGGAAATGGGAGCGCGACTGAAAAGTCATCGGAAGCCACCAGCACGCACCGACTCTGCACTGGTCTCTGCAGGAGGGACCAACACACACTCCTTGCGACACCGCACACAGGAGCAAAAATCAAGTCTGGCAACATGGGAAGTGAGCCTCAGGGCAGAGTGAAACTTCTGTTCAGTTCTTGGTCACCCGTGGCAGTGTGTACCCATGTTTTCGTGCTCAGGGATCACTCACGGTGGAGCTTGAGGGACTGTATGCAGTGCCAAGGATTGAACCCAGACTGGCCGTGTGCAAGACATCATAACCACGGTGCTGGCTGACTAGAAGTGGGCTTCGGGGAAGCCGACTCCCGACAGACTTCCCACAGTGCTTTCCCACAAAGGGACACCTGGCTTTCACTGCCAACACATCGTTAGAGAAGGAGAGAAGAGCACTCAAAATGGGCTTTGAAGTAGCTGTTCCCCTCTGAAGAAGGTAAAATGACAGTCCTGGGAAACAGACACTGATGGGAGACAGTCATTAACTGCTGCAAAGAGGAATCACAGGCAATCTTTTCACCTTTTTCTTGAACTGCTTTGTACCATTCAGAATTTCTTCACTGTCACTGTCCTCCTGCTGGTCATTGATTTGCTCGAGTGGTCCGACCCGGCCGACCCAGGTTCGATCTCCTCTGCCTCTCTCTGGAGAGCCTGGCAAGCTACCCTCGAGAGCATCTTGCCCAAACTGGCAAAGCCCGGCAAGCTCCCCATGATGTATTCGATGTGCCAAACACAGTAACAACAAGTCTCACAATGGAGATGTTACCGGGTCCGCTCGAGCAAATCGATGAACAAAAGGAGGACAATACTACAGAGTTTCTTACAGAGGTAAATTTTTCTTTTTTTACAGAAAGTAAAGTGAATACATTTTACTTTCATTTCTTATAGGAAATGAGATCCTATAAATTTTCTCATTGTTTTTCTTTCTGGGTGGTGGAATGATTTTCCAATTCTAAGCATCATGCGAGGTCCCAATTATTCCAAAGCAGGGGCGTGCTGTGTAATTGGGCCTGAGTAACGGGTTTGATCCATACTAGGTCCCTGTCTCTGGGAAAATCCTTCTCTGCAGGTCTTTCCCTCACAGACTAGAGTACTGACAGGCATGGAGGGAGAAGTCAGACACGTACCACCAACCGAAAGGTGGAGGCAGGGGCCCCTCCTCAGCCCTGCATTCCCCAAGGAAGAGTGAACCTTACTTCTCAAAATGTGAAATCTGGACTGGATTTCATTAAAAAAAAAAGAAGTGGAAAACTGAGGCACGCCAGCATATATACACTTTTTCTCAATCACTTACTGAATCCATTAGAGTGTAAGAGGTCAAACTTCACGTGAGACACATTATAAAATATATGGGAATACACTTGAGTACCTTTTTATTTATTCACAACAGGATGAACATTCTGTTAATTCTGGAAATAAATAGCATTTGGAAGAGAAAAAAGTGTTTTCTGGTTTATTAATTTTTTGAAAGTATTCCAACAGTTTTATGTGATACTTTAGAAGTAGAAGTTTGTTCTCAGAATAGAACAGATGGCCCAGTGGAATGAATCTGATTTCCAGATGGATGGTTTTGTAAACTGAGTGCCACGGACTTAGCAGGAGCTGCTGAATCTCAAGTTTATCTTTAGCCAAGACTTCTGGTTGCTATGAAAATTTGGGGGAAGTAAATTTTAGTTCAATGAGTAACCTAGGAAGTGTCATTTAAGGTTAATCTTCTGGGTAAGAGCCCCCAAGGGCACACTTTCTAGTGACTGTGGAACCTCACACCTTTAAGCCTCTGGTGCTGCTGCTGGTCTTCAGAGTGCCCTGGCGGGGGTGGGACGAGCCCTCCCCAGCCCTCTCAGGGGCCTTACGGCACACAGATGCAAGGCGAGCGCCTTACCTTCGGGACCAGCCCTCGCACCCGTGCTCAGGCAACTTCTTCCAACTTCCCCGCTTCCTTACTGCTTTTAAAGCTGCGAGGAACTTACACATACCTTTCTGACCAAGAGGCTAAGGAAATGTAAATGTGAAAATCTCAATTCAGTCAATGTGAAGAAATCAAAACATTCACTTCTGTTACCTGGCAGATCTTTCCTTCTTCAAAATCCTCGTTCTAAGGTTTGGGAGTGACTGGTTTCTTAGATTTTGACTGCTCTGAATGAAGAACCTGTGTCGAATGAAAGGAATGCATCTTGTAATAAGCTATGTCCATGCATTTACAGAGTTACAGCAGAGTACAAACAGTTTAACTAGTATGCTTCTAGATCATCTGGGGCACATACTTTATGTCTCTAGTTATAGGTTTTAAACGTCCATCATCTGACACACATCCCCAGAACAAACTTTTGTCTTACCTGTCTCTTGGAGAAACTGCATTGGGCACAGAGGGTGGGATGGGGATGGGGCTTCTTCAAAGCTCTCGAAGGATCCTGGCCTAGCTTTCGCTTAGATCGGTGGGCCGCCTGGCTCTCCATCGACCTGTGCTCGCTCCTATCAACCTGTATCACTTGGGTTACCGGCTGCTGCGGCAGTGCCTGGGGATCTTCGGGTTCTGTGTCTGACTCAACAATGTGAGGGCGTCTTTTCACTTTCAGTGACATGTGGTCTTCCCCTAAAACCTGTGTGATGTACTTGCTAGTGAAATTTCTCTTCTCGTTCCCTTGGAAATTAGCAGCACTTTTCTTTCCGTCTACGCTGTGGCTTGGCACTGTGCCGTGAGGTGGCTGGTGACTTTCAGCGGCACCCAGAGCCGAGAGCTTTCCGTTAGAAGGGAGGTGCTGACCTCGCTTTCCACCGGGGTGGTTCTTCTCCTGCTGAGGCACGGAAACTCTGTGATTGACACTTCTAGTACTCATCTCTATTGTGTAAGTGGCTATTTTTTTCATGGTGGGATGTGTACTCAGCTTGTCACCCGGGACAGTGCTGGCTTTCACTGTTGCCACGCTAGACTCTGTAACATGCTGCTGCTTTCTCTTCTGGTCGTCAGGTTCTAGAAAACTAGCGCTGACCTGCAACAACTGATTTTTGAAAACTGGCGTAAATTTCGGGGCAGTATTACTTCGGGAGCTGGGCTGTGCGCTCCCTGACCCTGTGGGGTTCCCTCTGCTGGGCGCCAGCCCTTCTCCCTGAGCTCGGGGAACCTGAGCAGGCGGAGCTGCGGACTCCTGGGGCTGGTTGGCCAAAAGCTCCACCTTGTGGCCCTTTGCTATCGAGCACTGCACCAAGCACTGCACTGGAGCCAAGGTGGGTGCGACCTGAGTCACAGAAGGCCCGAGCATTCTTTTAGTGGTCAAATTAGGTGGCTTGACTTTGTTTTCCTGTAAGGACAGAGATTAGAAAGTTTTACAGTGCAGTAACGTCCTTAATAGAAAACTTACACATCATAAAAATAGAGTGTAACAATACAGGACACAGTAAAGACAAATGAATTTGTTTTTGGGAGAAAACGTCCACCGTTCTTTAGGTCTGCTCCTGTAACACAGTTCTGCCAAGGGAATAAGTGGTTATGCTCTATAGTTCACCTGAAACAAATCTAGAACCCAGCACAAACCATGTTCTCTCAAGGAACTCCCTCCTCTCTCCAACACAACTCCCCAAGGCTCTGCTATCAGCTGGTGCTTATGTCAGAGAAAACAGCGCACAGTATCCTTCAGGCAGCAGCCTCCATCTCCCCAAGCTGATAATGCATTCTCAGAGGGAAGCAACTGGGGCTTCTTTCTGTCACTATCCAAACAGCACACAGTAACCTTCAGCCCGCAGCCTGTGTCTGCCCAAGCAGATACTGCATTCTCGAAGGGAAGCTCATTTATGTCACTCTCCACAATCTTAGTTGCTACAACTAGTTGTTGAAAGACACAAACTAGATGAAAGAAGTTGGAACATCTACAACAGTAAGATTTTAGGGACAAGTAGGATCTTGACTAAGGGCGGCAGTTGCCTTGCATTAATTTAATTTCGTCATTATTTCAGTAATGATTGGGTTTCTGACATAAGATGCTTCAGCACTGCTCCCTTCACCAGTGTCCACTTGCCGCCTCCACCAATAGCGCCCCCCACCCCATCCGCTTCCACACACCTGCCTGCTTCTATGAGAGGTGCTGTGTATGTGCTTTATTCTGTGGTTTTTTATTTCAACACTGCTGTCGGGTTTCACACATAACATTATACCACCTTTCAGCACCACCTCCACCACAGGCATTGCCCCACGCCCTATCCAGCCCCTTAAGTGGCAGGGTTTCCTACTGAATACCAGTCCTCGGGTTCTCTGTTTTCACTACCGTTAGGAATCAATTATTCCACTATGATTCTTTATATCCCACACAGGAGAGATCGCTGTGTCGGTCTCTCTCCCTGACTAGTGTAACTCAGCATGATACTACCCTTCAGGTCCATCATGCAGCAGCAAACTGCACAACTTTATCTTTCCTTACGGCCTAGTAGTATTCCACTGTGCAGATGTAGATACATCTTTCTTTATCCAGTCTTTCTTATTGTCCACAACCTGGCAGCAATTCCGCAAGGGTCTGCCATGGTGGCTAGACCAGGACCCAAGTGTCTTCTTTACAAAAGGATATTCATATGTAAAGTGTGGGTTGTCTATTTTGCCACTGAAATCATTTTATCCAGAGACAAAAAAATGAACCTCGGACCCGAATAACTTGCTGCAGCGACCTCTTCAGACCCCAATTATTAAAATTTTAGAATTCCCAGAGCTCGTAGCCTCCCATTATATTGCATCCATAACAACACAGAACACACTGTCTAGCATTGCCTTTTCGGCAGGTGTGAGTGGTGGTGGGGCTGGTCTCAAAATATCTAAGGTAACTAAAGTAGAGAGTATTGTGCAAATTGTCTGCCACACAGGCAGGGGAAGTGTGGAGTGGAGGGAGGGGGGTACTGTAGATTTTGGTGGTGGAAAATGTGCACTGGTGAAAGGATGGGTGGTTGGTGACTGTATGATGAAAACTCAAATATGAAAGCTTTACTACTGTACTTTACTACTGTACCTCACAGTGAATCAATTTTTCAAAAAAAGGAAATAATTTTAAAGGATACAATTTACCCAGCCCCAGCAGCTGAAAACCTCCAGAACTCAACTGCCGCCATGCTCACAGCAACTCTACATGCTCAGGTGCTTCACCCATGAAGTGAATCCGCAGAAAACCCACGTACATGGGACTTTGTGATTGAAAATTCCGGGTTCAATGGAAACGAGAATGAGGGTCCTCCACCTGTATTCCCGTTTCCAGCAACTCAGCCGTCACGCCCATAAGCCACCGCTGGCTGGCACCAGATAATCTTGTCATTGGACACAATCCAGAGTTGCATGTCCTCTCCCCGAAAGGAACATAACATGACACATGCCATAACCAGGCCACTGGATCCTGCGCCAGGCTGGTTCACACAGGGTGCCCCGAGGTGAGCAGGTGAGACCCCTCTCACCCTAAGGGACCCAGCCTGGCAGCCAAAAACCTCCAGAACCCAACTGCCACCCTGTTCAAGGCCCCTCTCCACGCACTTGGGACGAGCCTCACCCAAGAGTGACCTATTCCAGGACTGTGAGACAACTCATACCTCACACCACCCGTACTCCAAGAGTACTGCACCACATTTGATGGATTTTAGGAGGCAACCAACCTTACAGGGAAATACACACACACACACACACACACACACACACACACACACACACACACACACGTACACAAAGCTCAACCTTTTAACAACATGTTAGTGACCTCCTACAGAAGAACTTAGTGACCACTAGGTGAAATACAACCATCTTCACACTGTTTCCTCTAAGGAACTTTTTTGTAGTATTTTCAGTTTTTTTTTTTTTGGTAGCAAACAACACAAACTTGGCCAAGAGCATTGATTCATTCGAATGCCTAACAACCCAAATGTTTACATTTGAATAGATGTGGCTCACTGCCTGCAGTTTCTATCTTCGTTGTCTACGCACCAACATCTCATTATGATGAAAGAGAAATCGAGAAGTTCTACATGGAGCTGGAGAAGTTCTATAAAGAAGACCACACCTTCTACAAGATCATTGTGGGTGATTTTAATGCCAAGATAGAACCGAGAAGATCAGCTGAAGAACTTCACATCGGGACCCATGGCCTAGAATGGAACGAACAGGGTGAGAGACTGTCTGAGTTCATCATGTCGACCAAGACCATTCATGGTAACTCACAGTTCCAGAAGGCAGAATCTAAACGATGGACATGGGAGTCTCCCGGTGGACGATTCCACAACGAAATAGACCACATCATATTCAATCGACGGTTTTGCCTGACCGATGTCGCTGTTGTCCCAAAATTTCGAACGGGATCGGACCACCGTCTCCTTCGTGCAAAATTTTACTTCACAGAGCGGGGAGAAAGGGCTGCAAAGTTCAAAAAGAGAACTCCCAGAATGACTACCAACTGGGAACTCTTTGGTACTATTGCGGCAACATGGGAAGATGCCATTGTTGACAACATTGACGAGGAATACGATCGACTGGTTCAGCACCTCCATGAATGTGCGAGGAACGCCAAGAGAGAGATAGCCACAAAAAGTCGCCTATCTTGGAAAACTCTTGAGCTAATTCGCCAGCGTGGTTTGGCGCATGCCTCAGGCAACCGCAAGCTAACGTCCGAGCTTGCAAAGCAGTGCAGAGATGCGATCAAGGAAGACCTCAAAGAGAGAAGAGCAGAAGTACTGGTAGATGCGGCAGAAGCCGGGAAAAGTATTCGTAACGCCCGCCTGTCCTTCGCCAACTACAAGACCAAGATGACTGCCCTCCGACGTCCTGATGGATCCATCACATCCTCCAGAACGGCAATGGAGAAGATTATCTATGATTTCTACTCAAATCTCTTCGATAGCCATGTCCACTTGCCGACATACCAAATTCCACAGGATGGGTATGTTGTTCCCAACGTTCTCCCCTCCGAAATCCGACACGCCATTTCGTCAGTAAAGAAACAAACAGCACCCGGCCCAGACAAGGTCAGACCTGAATACCTGAAGAACCTGCCGTCAGTACTCATCAATACACTGGCTCGGCTCTTCACTCGCTACCTGTCTGAATGCAAGGTTCCGTCCCAATGGAAAACCAGCAGGACCGTACTACTGTTCAAGAAGGGAGACATCCATGACATTGACAACTATCGCCCGATCTGCCTATTGTCTGTCATCTACAAGTTGTTCACTCGAGTCATCCTAAATAGGATTGGCAGAACACTAGATGAAGGACAACCATGCGAGCAAGCAGGGTTCCGCAAAGGATTCAGCACCATCGACCAAATCCACACAATAACCAAGCTCATTGAGGTTTCTCGGGAGTTCAAGATGCCGCTCTGCTTAACGTTCATTGATTTAAAGAAGGCCTTTGATTCTGTTGAGACGGAAGCGGTCATTGAAGCCCTAGCCAATCAGGGCATTCAAGCCCAATACATCAGGATCCTCCGTGAGCTGTATTGCGGATTCACTACCAGGATCTCACCATTCTATAAAGAAGTGATCGTTGATGTCAAGAGAGGGGTGCGGCAGGGTGATACCATTTCACCAAAACTCTTCAGTGCCACCCTCGAGAACATCATGCGACGACTGGAATGGGAAGGAATGGGAGTGAAGATAGATGGTCGGCAACTACACCACCTCCGCTTTGCTGATGACATTGTTTTAATAACACCAAACATCAGCCAAGCGGCACAAATGCTGGCCGACTTTGACCGTGAGTGTGGAAAGGTAGGACTACAGCTGAATCTTACGAAGACAATGTTTATGAGAAACAGCCTTGTTCCTGACGCCCCATTCGCTCTCAAAGGAACGACCATCTCCGAATGCAACAGATATGTGTACCTAGGTCGAGAGGTCAACATGACAAATGACCTGGCACCCGAGCTGCGCAGGAGGAAGAGAGCGGCTTGGAACGCCTTCAAGAACGTCGAAGAAATAGCTAAGAGGACGAAGAACCCCCGGCTCCGGGCACATCTCTTTGATTCCACTGTTCTTCCTGCATTAACATATGCCTCAGAGACCTGGGCCCTAGGCAAACAAGATGAGAACGCTATTCAGGTCTCCCAAAGAAGAATAGAAAGAGCTATGCTTGGAATATCACGTTTCACTCAAGTGAGAGAAAGAATCCGGAGTTCTGACATCCGTCTACGATCAAGGATCAGGGACGCTGTCTCATTTGCCAAGGTGTCAAAAATCAGATGGGCTGGTCATGTAATGAGATTTAAAGACGACCGCTGGACTAGAGCTGTTACTGACTGGATTCCACGGGATGTCAAAAGACCGCGTGGCCGCCCACCTACCAGATGGT